TAAAACAGGATTACTTAAGTACATTACAGAACAATTGAAATGTAGACTAAAACTACAGATGTATTTATTGATTGTTTTTATTGTCATAAACGTATTCATTGGTAACATAGCAGTACAGTTACATAATTATCGGCTCATTTTATAAAACTAGACAAGACAAATAACAAAACCTGAGGCCTATTCGAAAATGCGTTTCATTGACTATTCTAGAAGTCGTAGGCCTATGCCAAAAAAAAAAAATATCTGGAACGTGTAGTGTTTTGGGAAGGTCGCTCGGAGTTAATTTATGTAGAAGCTGGATGCCATTGATCCTGAATAATAGAAGAGATTTCTTTTTATGTGAAATAAAAAAATTCCAAATTAGTGAAATATAATCATTATGTAAATAATTAACTAGCCTATTCACATAAAACATACATTCTGCCAAGTTTGAAACCAATCTTACCAAACTTTAGTTATCGTGGTAACAAACAAATAATAATAATAATAATAATAATGTTGGTTTTATAAAGCGCTTAATACAAAACAATGTTTCTAAGAGCTTTACACAAAATGAAATCGAGAAATGATAATTACGCTCTGTTCTTCAGCACTTTGGAGCTCCCATAATTGAGAGCTCCCCGGAACAGAACTCACAGGAGCTCGAGTGAAAATGGAGGAACGACAGCAACAACTACATGAATAAGAACAAAGGCTTTCATGTCCCGAAGTTTCGACTTAAAACTAAGATCAACACCAGTTTCTGTTATGGTCCTAAATTTTGGTTGACTTCCACCTGTGTGCTTTAGAGATTTAACCCGAATATTAATTAAAACAATCATTAATACTCGCATACAAAAAATCAATAGGCCTAACCTTGCCTCCGAATTTCCCATTATTATCTCCGGGAGATATGTTTTCATTATCTCCGCCAGAGATGTTTTTTTTTTTATCTCCGCCAGGAGATATGTTTTCAGTCGTTCAAGTTTGTGTGTGTTCAAATTATCTAAAAACGGCTGCACAGATCTATAAATGAAAGTTACAGGGAGTGTTAGGTATGACCCAAGGATTTGTAATGTTTCAAAGAAGAAATGTTTAAATTTTGGTGACGATCCGAAAAGTTTCGGATTACAAAATCTGAAAATGCCCACTCTAAATAAGAGTCCCCAAAACTCAGAACAGTGCCCCTCATTGAAATAAAAAGTGTTTGGGAGAGTTACTATGTGTTTTTGAAGAGGAGCGGAGCCAAGTGAGTTGGAGTGGTACTGGTGGTGGTTAAAGTAATTAGGAACATATTTTGGAGGATCTATTTTATAAAAAGGCTATTTTAATTAAGTTAGTTCTTACAGGATATTTATTATTATTGTTATTATTATTATAATTAAATTTGTATAAATCAAATTAATTAATTAATTAATTATCATTATTATTATCATCATTATTGTTACAGTAATTGAAAGGTTTTGTAATTAAGTTACTGTAGTTCCGGAATCGGTTTACAGGCTTACCTCCTTGGTTTCAGCATTTGTTATTTCAACAAATGGAAATAAATATTTGAATTTGATTTGTTCAAATTGATAATTTAAATGTTACTTTAAATAGAGCAAGTTTAATAAATTTGGTAACATATGGTAAAATGTTCTTTGGGGAGTCGAATAGCCGAGCAGTTAAGGCAGGGACGCCGCAACCTTCAGCTTTAATATCGGCGCTGTTTCGAACGGCACACTCACCTATGTTTCTGGAGTTGGAACAAGTCTTCTCAGATAAGGCCTCTAAACCATAGGCCCAGTGTAAACAATTGGCACATGTGCACTTTAACTTTTCTCCTGTGTACTAGTCCATACAGCCCCTGTTGTGGACAGACAAGAGAGTGGCACCGGTTTACCGGCTAGCTCAGACACAAAGAGACCTTAGGAGAAAATAAGGTTAATAGTCCACGCTTCGAGCGCTTTGAGACTCTGGTGTAAAGCGCTATAAAAATCCAAAAATTTTATTATTATTATTTCAACTAAATTTAGAGAACATAATCGGCATTTTTTAATTTTTTATTATTTAACTTGGTTCATTCTCCAAAAAATAACTGAATATTTATGTGAATTCTTTTAAGTAATTGCATTTCACACATAATAAATATAAAGTAGGCCTACTACAGCCTGTAGTGTAAAGCAAATTTTGTGATTATTTTTATGTAATCACAATGCTAAACAGAAATATATATTGCATATATTACTTTTTGTAATACCAGCTGTCACCTCTAGCTCACCTTAGGCTCGCTTTGTGAGGGCTGGATGTATATCATATATTTGGAGAAAACCTATGAATTAATACACAGTTTAACATAAATTATGGATAGACAACTCTCTAGTGGTGGTGTGTGTACACTGATCAGGGGAACTGACTCAGCAGTGGCTGCAATTTTTTGCAGGTGAGTCCATTGTTTATGAACACAGACTCAATCAGCAGAGACCATGAATTTGTGCCATTGTTCATGCAAAATAACTCCCATAGCAGTAGCCATCTATTTGGCAGGACAATTCATTGTTTATGAACACTGAATCAATCAGAGGAGACCATGAATTTAGCCATTGTTCATGGAAACAAACTCCTATAGTGGTAGCCATTTTTTTTGGCAGGGAGTTCATTGTTTATGAACAGAGACTGAATCAGCGGAGACCATGTATTTGTGCCATTGTTCATAGAAACTAACTCCTATAGCAGTAGCCATCTATTTGGCAGGTGAATTAATTGTTTATGAACACTGAATCAATCAGAGGAGACCATGAATTTGTGCCATTGTTCATGGAAACTAACTGCTATAGCAGTAGCCATCTATTTGGCAGGTGAATTAATTGTTTATGAACACTGAATCAATCAGAGGAGACCATGAATTTGTGCCATTGTTCATGGAAACAAACTCCCATAGTGGTAGCCATCTTTTTGGCAGGGAGTTCATTGTTTATGAACACAGACTCAATCAGCAGAGACCATGAATTTGTGCCATTGTTCATGGAAACAAACTCCCATAGTGGTAGCCATCTTTTTGGCAGGGAGTTCATTGTTTATGAACACAGACTCAATCAGCAGAGACTGTGTATTTGTGCCATTGTTCATGGAAACTAACTCCCTATAGAGGTAGCCATCTTTTTGGTAGGTGGGTCCATTGTTTATGAACACAGTTTCAATCAGTGGAGATCATGTATTTGTGCCATTGTTAGGGAAACCAACTCCAGCGGTAGCCATCTTTTTGGCAGGTGTGTCTATTGTTTGTGCAGACTCTCTGAGCATTGGCCATGTTTTTTGCTGATGTGCTCATTGTTTACTCAAACTGACACTAGTGGTGGCCATTTTTTTTTTACATGTGGGTTCATCGTTTACGTACACTAAGTGCCTTTATGGCCATGTTTAAAATTAATTATAATTAAAATAGTGCTTAAAAGTAAAAAAATGTTATCAAATTTGATAAAAGTAAAATTTGCAAGTGAAACCAGGATTGCACATAAAGTGGAAAAGACCACTGAAAATGGGGTCCTATTCCTACCTAGATAATATTTTCATTATTACTATGAATAATGCGTCTGGTGCCACATAATGTAAGATATTTTGTGGTAAATCTATAAGGAAGTCAAAGTTGTTATTTTCACAAAATGATATTATCTTACAGATAACAAACTTTGTTATTGTTAATAACTGATGGATGATAATCCCGGAACCGATTTTCAAAAAGAAAAAGAAAAAAGGAGGGGTTGGGGTGGGGGGGGGGGGAAGAGGAGGGAAGAGAGACTTTGGCACAGGGTCAATGTCATACATTTGGGGTATGATCAATTTATCTGTACAGTAAGTATAAAACGATAGATATAAATACTGTATATAAAACAGGATTACTTAAGTACATTACAGAACAATTGAACAAACTGACACTAGTGGTGGCCATTTTTTTTTTTACATGTGGGTTCATCGTTTGCGTACACAAAGTGCCTTTATGGCCATGTTTCTGGCAGTTGAGCTACCCAGGTTGCTGACTGCCATCACAAACTCAAAGAACCTGTCTCTTATACACATCTAGATGTTCAGAACAGTGCCCCTCATTGAAATAAAAAGTGTTTGGGAGAGTTACTATGTGTTTTTGAAGAGGAGCGGAGCCAAGTGAGTTGGAGTGGTACTGGTGGTGGTTAAAGTAATTAGGAACATATTTTGGGGGATCTATTTTATAAAAAGGGATAAGAGGTGGGCAGAAATATGCTCTCTACTGAGTGCTCTTTTTAGTATTATTATTTTCATCATCACTAATATCATTATACTGAGTAATGTTTCATATCTAAAGGTATTTTAATTAAGTTAGTTACAGGATATTTATTATTATTGTTATTATTATTATAATTAAATTTGTATAAATTAAATTAATTAATTAATTATCATTATTATTATCATCATTATTGTTACAGTAATTAAAAGGTTTTGTAATTAAGTTACTGTAGTTCCGGAATCTGTTTACAGGCTTACATCCTTGGTTTCGGCATTTGTTATTTCAACAAATGGAAATAAATATTTGATTTGGTTTGTTCAAATTGATAACTTAAATGTTACTTTAAATAGAGCAAGTTTAATAAATTTGGTAACATATGGTAAAATGTTCTTTGGGGAGTCGAATAGCCGAGCAGTTAAGGCAGGGACGCCGCAACCTTCAGCTTCAATATCGGCGCTGGTTCGAACCGCACACTCACCTATGTTTCTTTAGTTGGAACAAGTCTTCTCAGAGAAGGCCTCTAAACCAAAGGCCCAGTGTAAACAATTGGCACATGTGCACTTTAACTTTTCTCCTGTGTACTAGTCCATACAGCCCCTGTTGTGGACAGACAAGAGAGTGGCACCGGTTTACCGGGTAGCTCAGACACAAAGAGACCTTAGGAGAGAATAAAGTTAATAGTCCACGCTTCGAGCGCTTTGAGACTCTGGTGTAAAGCGCTATATAAATCCAAAAATTTTATTATTATTATTTCAACTAAATTTAGAGAACATAATCGGCATTTTTTAATTTTTTATTATTTAACTTGGTTCATTCTCCAAAAAATAACTGAATATTTAGGTGAATTCTTTTAAGTAATTGCATTTCACACAAAATAAATATATAAGTAGGCCTACTACAACCTGTAGTGTAAAGCAAATTTTGTGATTATTTTTATGTAATCACAGTGCTAAAAAGAAATATATTGTCATATATTACTTTTTGTAATACCAGCTGTGACCTCTAGCTCACCTTAGGCTCGCTTTGTGAGGGCTGGATGTATATCATATATTTGGAGAAAACCTATGATTTAATACACAGTTTAACATAAATTATGGATAGACAACTCTCAAGTGGTGGACCATGTTTATGCAAGTGTGTACACTGATCAGGGGAACTGAATCAGCAGTGGCTGCAATTTTTTGCAGGTGAGTCCATTGTTTATGAACACAGACTCAATCAGCAGAGACCATGAATTTGTGCCATTGTTCATGGAAAATAACTCCCATAGCAGAGCCATCTATTTTGCAGGACAATTCATTGTTTATGAACACTGAATCAATCAGGAGACCATGAATTTGTGCCATTGTTCATGGAAACAAACTCCCATAGTGGTAGCCATATTTTTGGCAGGGAGTTCATTGTTTATGAACACAGACTGAATCAGCGGAGACCATGTATTTGTGCCATTGTTCATGGAAACTAACTCCTATAGCAGTAGCAATCTATTTGGCAGGTGAATTAATTGTTTATGAACACTGAATCAATCAGAGGAGACCATGAATTTGTGTCATTGTTCATGGAAACAAACTCCCATAGCAGTAGCCATCTTTTTGGCAGGGAGTTCATTGTTTATGAACACAGACTCAATCAGCGGAGACCGTGTATTTGTGCCGTTGTTCATGGGAACTAACTCCTATAGCACTAGCCATCTATTTGGCAGGTGAATTAATTGTTTATGAACACTGAATCAATCAGAGGAGACCATGAATTTGTGCCATTGTTCATGGAAACAAACTTCCATAGTGGTAGCCATCTTTTTGGCAGGGAGTTCATTGTTTATGAACACAGAATCAATCAGCAGAGACCGTGTATTCGTGCCATTGTTCATGGAAACTAACTCCCTATAGAAGTAGCCATCTTTTTGGCAGGTGGGTCCATTGTTTATGAACACAGTCTCAATCAGTGGAGATCATGTATTTGTGCCATTGTTTAGGGAAACCAACTCCAGCGGTAGCCATCTTTTTGGCAGGTGTGTCCATTGTTTGTGCAAACTCTCGGAGCATTGGCCATGTTTTTTGCTGATGTGCTCATTGTTTACTCAAACTGACACTAGTGGTGGCCATTTTTTTTTTTACATGTGGGTTCATCGTTTACGTACACAAAGTGCCTTTATGGCCATGTTTCTGGCAGTTGAGCTACCCAGGTTGCTGACTGCCATCACAAACTCAAAGAACAAACTACCTCCACTAGTTGTTACACAAAGTAAATGATCCACCTGAAACATAAGAACAATATAACAATATATATTCAATATATTCATTTTGTCATTTAAAGGCAACTGTGGTTTTATATTTCATTTTAATTTGTAATTGCACACTATAATTATTTACTGGGTTGTGGGTATTTAGTCAGTTTTTGTATAAAAATGAATTTTTCATGCAGAGTCAACAGCGGGAATGAATTAAATGATATTGGTTGATATGAAAAAATCATAAGTGGAGAGCTTACGTTTATTTGAGACCCCATCTGTGTATGTAACACAGTAAAAGTAGCATAATGCAGTCAGCTATTAAACAGGTAGCCACTACGTAAGATCTGTAATTTTATTGCTGACACCATAATTTTACTATAGTACAGCAAATTTAGGAAGACACTTTAAAGCCATTAACCCTCTGTGTTGCAAGTCATAGGCGAGACTTTTTATACCTTGTTTCGTGGACTTATATACATTTTCGGAGATTTCAATGTAGCGGTGGGCATAATAAAAGTAAAGAAAAAATTTATTATTTTTCTTAAAATTTCAATTTTTGCATGGCGGAGGGTGCAATTATTGGCCAAAAATGAAATATTAGTTTTATTCAAAATCATCATTATTTGCTAGCAATGGGTAAACAAGTTATAAAAGACGTTTGTCAGGATGGTTGAGCTTGGTTTAACTTTGCTGATTGCATTGCAAACAATTCGGGGTGCCTTCTCGATTGCGTCAGGGCAGTAGCATTGTACCCTGATTTGTCTGCAAATCAATTGGCAAACTTGAACCAGGTTCAACCTTCCCGAAAACTGACGGCGAGTCACCGATAGGGTGAGCAATTCAATGGAAACCGAGCTTTAGGTGTATAGGTTAGGAACTCCTTGCACTTACCTCAGACCAGTTACCGCTAAAAGAATGGGAACAGGGGTTACAAAATTCTTCCAAATAATGCAGTCTCTTACATTCCCACAAACACCACCCTCCCCACCCCCACACAAAGAGAAAATTTTTGAATGTTTGCATGTTTTTATTACTGTACTAATATTGTTTCAGCTGGCCATGGGTACCACCACAAGTACCAAATACAATGAATATTAAAGTTGAAATAAAAAATCTTATTAAATCAGATCTCTCTGAAATAGCTTCTCTCAACTTGGCATTGCTGCGGCAGAATTTTTAGTATGTTGAATTTGTCAGTGTTTCAGAAGAACATGCAAAAATGAATTGTTTACCATTGAAGCAGCTGCAAACTGCAATACATGTTTAACTACAGCATCATTACAGTGCAGTAATTCTTGGAAAAAGATATTTATGAATTCGCTTCTTGGGCCAGCATTTCCACTTTGAATCACAGAAGAAAACAACTGCAGTAAGGTAGCTGGTGGGAAAAAAAATACATATGCTAATCAGTGGTTCACTACTCACTCAGTCAAACAATTAATCAAGCAATCAATCTATCACCAAGTATTTGTGAAGTGCCAATATCCATGGCACAACACAATGTTCAATAGTGCAATAATTTTGGCATTTCTCAAAGCAAATAATGAGATTACTCAGATGCCAGTGAGCTCTAATCATAAAGAACAACTTGAAAGGAAAGAAAAAAAACATAAAAAAATTAATGGTGGGATAAAACTTTAAAAAGATTAAAGATTAAAGCAAATCAATGAGAGATAACACTGCCAATCCACAGGCATTTGCAAAAATCATTAAACCTACCTATAGCACGGTTGAGTGGGTCTGCAATTAGATAATGAACATTTGGTACAATAAAACCAGTAGATTGACTTCCTGCTATTGAAATGAAAACGAAGTTTAGCAATGACATATTGTAGATATACACCACTAATATTTTAAATATATGTAGTATTCATATTTGGCAGAGTAGTATATAATTTATTGCGAGGGAAAACTTCAGTGAAGAAAAAGTTGCAAACATATACAGCACAAATCCAATTTAATTCAATCTATCAAAAAAAATTCAATTATTCAATCAATCAATAAATAAATCATCAATAAATAAAAATGAAAACAAAGAATATAATTAAAGATGTATACAAAATGATATACTTACCAGTTACTTCTGGCGTGCTGTCGTCTTCCGGTGAACTTAGGAGACGACGCAGTTTTGAATTAGACAATAACCTGCCTTCGTCCTTCAGGCCGCCTGTGTCCTAATAGGTATACCACATAAAAAATGGACAGGAATAAAGAAAAGAATGTTTATTAATAATAAGAGTACGTTTTGTATAAATATTTAACATAAAAATAACGCTGAAAAAAAAAACAAAAAAAAAACAAGCACATGCCTAGCTTAACTCTCATAAAGCCCTGTCTGGCTTATCAAATTTTATTTGACAAAAACATGTGACATTATGGTCATGATGACATTACATCATGACATATATACACTTTTTTTTTTTTTTTATAAGAACCAGTAAAATTTTGCCCAGGCTCAGTGTTCTTATTTCTTGGCTGATTTCAGGCTCAAAATGTTCTTATTTTGTTCTTATTTTACACACTTTTCAAACATAGAAAATTATTATTGTACAGCAGTATACACTGTACTGGGAGGTGAAAGCGGCCCTGCAAAAAATGGCCCCTGAATGAAAGGCCCAGCAAAAAATGGCCCCGGTTAAAAAATGGTCCCAAATGGGAGGTAGGTACACTTACTGTACTGTATTAAGAGGGTATTGCATAGTCACACCTACTACTGCACATAAAGTACAGATATAATTTTTTGGTTTTTGTAGTTTGACATTCTACCTCAGCCTCATTTTGTTCTTAATTTTTAAGCAATTTCAGCCTCAGTGTTCTTATAAAATGTGTTCTTATAAAAAAAAAAAGAGTAGGCACATCATGACTATATATGGGCATACAACAGTTTTTTTAATACTGTGGACAGCGCTATAACCCTAGTGAATGAGTAAGAGCAGTTGTTGGTGGGTTTAGTGTTGATTTTTACAAATTTGGACGTAGGACCCTGGGACAGGTAGGCAAACTGTTTTTACAGTTTGTCTAAAGTTAAAACATACAAAAAAACATACACAGTGATACAAACAAACACTTTATGTTTAATCTAAAGGGAAGTAAGTGACAGTAAACAAACAATGAAGAGATTACAAACAAAAATACAAACCTCTTTTTCAAATTCACTTCTTGGTCTTTTTGTTCCTCTTCCTTGTCTTTCATCTTTGATTTTAAAATCTTCATGTAAATAATGAAACTACAATAAGCAAAGCATTTGGAACATACATACATATCTATTGCCCTTTCAAAAGCAATAAATTATTAAGACATTATTGAAACATTACCAAGATAGGATACTGTTTTTCAGAAGAAACAAACCTTTCAAATTTGTATTTCAAAATTTTATTTTTTGGACTCTCCAAACAGAATCCACACATAGCAATACATAATCAAGCACTATAAAAAAATTAACAAAAGATCGGATAAATCTAACTGTCATCTTAAGACACTACCAAATTTTCTATTGAAGACAATTATGCTTTGTTGAGAAATACAGCCTACAAAATTTCAATATTTTCATCAAGATATTCTTTGAATTAACAAACTTAATTGATGGGAGGAAATTACCAAGGTGGATCTAATAAATTATCTGAATTTAATTGAAAAGTCTGCTAAAGTGAATATATAGTGAGTATTTATATGCATTAGTTCGGGCAAACTGTTCAATAAACTTGAGAGAATTTGGATGTCTACAGTTGAACAGAAATATCAGACTGATGACAGACTAATGTCAACAAGGAAAAAAAAAACCCCTTTTGCTTACCTACAGAAATGTGTATTTATGAATGTTTACCCTCTATCTACAACAGAGCTTAGTCCACTGTACATTGAGTCTATAATGCCTTTTTTCGAGGGGGTGCTTATACAGAAAACACTTGACAAATTTATTCACAAATAGACTAAAATATATTTTCAAACATTGAATGCCTCAAATAAAGAACTTTATTGGATCAAGCAACCTGGTAAAGTATGGTGTTAAAAAGCAATCTCAGTCATACCTTTTGTGTTGTTGCTGTACGTAATAGCAGAGGCAATGGTCCAAACGACTATACATGCCAGAGCATGACCCCTAGCTCCTGAAATTCTTTTGTTGTTATTTGTGTCACTAATAAGCAGGGGGATGACTTTCTTTATTAGGATGGGGCAGATCTGCTCAATGTTAATGTAGAACATGCCAAGTGCAATCTCAACTGAAAGATGCAAAGAAACACGGGTCATGAAAACGGATCTATGATCAAAATATGCATAAAGTGTAGCCTCCTCCCCTCCCTAAAGTCTTGTACAGCAACGGGAGTGTGTGCCGAGGCATGTAAGGTGTTGGACTTTGAACTTAAAATCAGGAGTCCAAGACCGATGCTCATCGAATTGCTTGTGTTCCTGGGCAAAGCAGTTTCCTTCCGTTTCCTCTCTCCACCCAGGAGTATGGTACCTGGTAGGATGGTATGGCATATGGGTTGTGTGTGTAAAGCAGCATGACAAGGGATATCACAGGGAGCACAGAAAGTTGCACAAATTGTTATAAAAAGAAAAAAATTTTAAAAACCATTTCTATTTATATTTACATAAAAGGTTACAACATATAGTACTATATATAAACTATATAACGAGTTGGATGGCCGAGCAGTGCCGGCAGGGGAGCCACAACGTACAGCCATAATATTGGCGCACTCATCAATGGTTCTGGTGGTGGAAAAAGTCTTCTTGGATAAGGACCACTAAGCGCAGACCCAGTGTACACAATTTGGCTCATCTGCACTTTAAAGAAACCAGTACTTCTTTTGGGAAGAGTAGGGGGTTACATTCAGTCCCTGTTGTAGACAGACAATTGTAGCTGGCACTGGTTTACCGAGTAGTTCAGACACGAAGAGATCCTTAGGGGAGAAGCAAGTAACTGTAAGAGTTGTCCACACCGTGAGCACTTTGAGACCGTTTCGGTATAAAGCACTATGTAATTCTACCTACATTACTTTAAAACAATACAGATTCCCCTGCCCCCAGCGGTGGGACAGGGGGTCCAGGCCTGTCAGACGGGTGGGCAAATGCCCACCCTGCCCCCCCTACACTGGCGCCACCACTGCCTACCCCTAATAAGTTAACCTAAAGTAGTTAAAAATCCCCTCATATCACCGTAATTCCCCAACTATCTGATTTCTGATCAATTTTCTTACCTGCAATCATTAAGTCTGCTTTGCTATTCAATTTGAGTACTTCGTCTATAACAGAGCGGCAGAAGTACTCAACACCCAAGCAGCTCTGCAGCTGTTCAATAGCTGTAAACAAAGCCTTATTCATAAAGCCCTGTTGGATAAGGCCGTGAAAGATGGATGAAAGTGTTTCAATAGCAGACGCTGAAGAACTGGTCTTCAAGCCAAACTCAGGGTTGACCTCGAGACCACCCATCGACATGCGGGTCATTTTCTTGATCACGTTGACCTTTATTGTATTTCTGAAAGAGTGTTTATCATTTTATTACTTTAACAGCATTATGGGTGTAAATTTTTTAATACAGTATGGTTTAAAAACCTCATTGTGAAAAAATAATTTGGTTAAGCAATCAAAACATCATCCTTTTCCTTTATCATCCTGTAACACTATTTTTGAGTACACTCTCTATGCTGGTAAACGATTCTTCTTTCCAAGTTTTGAGGTCGACTTAGTTGGTGTTTAAACACACCAAGGATAACCCAAACAATTTTGAAGCCTCAATTCCTGTGGGTTCTTCTGGTAATTCATTGGCCAGTGCACAAGAAGACAATCCACGAGTGCCTCCCTGTATGAATGTGCACACTTCACACAAGAGCACACTTTTTAGAATTCATTCAGACTGCCAACGATCGACCTTTCCAGAGTGTTAAACTTAGCAACAGACCAATCAAAGCATAATTAGAAATATGTGCGTATATATATATATATAAAAGTGTTGTCCCACAAATGCACTTTTTTATATTTTTACACTATCGTTTTGTGGGACCTCAACTACCATATCCAAGGGGACCCATTCAGACTAGCTTCGCATTGCGATCGGTTGTAGCAATTGCGACACCCAATCGCAAAGTAAAATCGTGTCTGAAAGCTCACCAATAGTAGTCGATAAGTAATCATTTTGCAATTGTTACCCTTTGCGATTGGGTGCTACAATCTTTATTACTCCCGATTATCACAAAATCCGATCGCAAACGGATTCCACAGGTACTGATTGGCTAAGTTCAAACAAAACAGGACGATCTATATCGTTGCTAGTGATGTTAACTATCAAAGTAAAAAGGTGTCTGAATGCTGTCAAAGTTTGCGAACCATTTGGATTATAACTGTTTACCACCGATTACATCGCAACCGGTCGCAATGCAAAGTCTAGTCTGAATAGGCTATTAGAGAAGGTCAATTAGCACACAATGTTGTGTCATCAAATGCTCACAGAAGAACAGAGAAGATTTTGTCGGCTGACACTGTGTGTGTCTGGCTTAACACCATCAAACATCAATCAATCAACCACTTGCTTCTGTTCTATTAATTATTACTCCACAAACCTTTCTTTATCGTAAGGAACAAGCGTGCTATCAATTGTATTAGCAGCCATGAACATGAGCAGCATTTGCTTAGCTTTGTCTCGCTCTGAGTTCTGTAGACTGCGGAGGTAGCTACACAACCACGCTACAACGCACACCGAGAGGCAGTGCAGCTTGCTCTTCATGTTGTCAATTATTTTCTGAAAGATGCAAGCAATCAAAAACAAATATTTTAATTTAATTTATTGATATTTTAAGATTTTCGTCAATGTTTTTCAGGCAGAGACCATCATCAAATTGTTAAAATATGCTGTTTTAATATCAGAAATGAGGAAAATACTAAGATAGCAAAATACATACATACAGTTTAGTTTAGTGCAATAACAGATTAAAAAGATTAACTGATGTGCCTTCATTAGATATGTTTAACTACTACCTTATGCTGTTTTTGTGCATTTTTTTGTTTATGTAGAAACACTGAAAATATAATTTCACTGTTCATCTGCCCCACAGCTTTGGACATCAGAAATGTTTGATATGTCTAAAAGTTGGACATGAACATAAATTCAAAATTTTACCTTAACGTCTGATGCAGAGATGGTGTTGTGAAGCCAAGCGTTGAGAATTTCTTCCATTACCTGGGGAGCACAAGCGCATGCCTCATGCCAGCGAACAAGACTAAAACAAAAAATAATAATGATATTAACACAATTAATAATAAAATTAACATGTCAATCTTATATAACATGTCAACCAACTCAAAGGAAATGCAGAAAAAAAAATGAGTTCCTGACCCAAAAACATGGTATATTATATATTTGAGGTATTTATTGCACATTCAAAACATTTTAAAACAGCAGTCAAACAAGAGATTGATTGAAAAAGTCATATTTACAAGAGAATTACAGAATTACAATGATCTAACTTGCCTAACTAGCTCAGAGGACAGCAAATGATCGTGGTGATTACAATTGCTAATGATGATGATCATCATAGATTCTCTATCATAAATGTTGAATCTGTCTCTTATTAATTTCACTTTTGTACATGTTGAACTACTTACCTAGTTTTGAATTCCATGCCAGTAGCACAGTGCATTAGTAGCAACTCAACTTTATTCTGATCAGCTTTTATCATGGATTCTAAAGGCTTGGCTTGGTTCGCACTTGGGAGACATCCGACTATCCAGGACTCAAAGAAGGAATCGGTCTTGTCCAACACCATCTAGAGAAATTAAACAAATGAAGTCTTATTGTCTCATATTTTCTCATTCTTGAAGATGACCCAAAAAGATTAAACCACTTAATGGGAGACACCGACTATCCAGGACTCAAAGAAGAAATCATTCTTTTCCAACATCATCTAGAAATCAAGAAGTCTTTATTGTCTTATGTTTTTTCATTCCTGAAGAAGACCCAATAAATGTCCAAGTATTGAATCATGGCCTCCCTCAAATTATTCTGAGTAACATTCATTAAATGTTTTTTTTAAATTTTGTATACAACTTTAAACACTTTCTTTTTACTCTGGTTAGAATAAAATAGTCAAATGAATGAATGAATAAAGTATTTTTTAAATGTGTGTGACATCATGAGGATAAAGATGATTGGTGATGTGATTACTGTATGCTGACCCCTGACCATGGTGATATGATTTAGTTGACCATTGACCTGGTGATTTGACACTTACTTGGACACCGTACATTTGAGCAATGTGACACAACATGAGGAAAGTGAAGTCAAACAGCAACGCTCTCACTTGGCTTTGTTTCCCTCCTTCACCACTAGCATTCTTTGCCCACTCATTAAACCTGAAAACAAAAAAAATCAATCAAAAAGATGTTAGTAAAAGTATATGATTTTCATTTTATTCCTTTTAAATTTTAAAAATCCTTTTATTATTCAATAAATAAATTTTAAACAGAGTAATTAAAAACAAATTCATTAATTATATTATAGATTTATAGCCTGTAGGAATATTTGCTCTACATACAGTAGAGCCTCTAAAATAAGGGGACACCTTCAGGACCAAAAAAAGTGTCCCCAGGGGTGTCTCCTATATGTGGCAAAGACAAGCCAAACCAGTCACTCGTCACAAATTGTGTTTCAGAGATAATGGCCAAGACATGCTGGAATGTCAACATTTTTTAAATCTATTTTATTGCACTACACTTACATTTATATATCTATACATCATGCTATGTTGTTATTTTCCCTATTTCCTATGTTAAAACAACAGATTTTAACGATTTGGTGATGGTTTCTGAATGAGAAATGCCTGAAATCTTAAACTTTGAAAGCTGATTTCTCAAATAGTGTTCTTTAAACAACTGCATGTTTACACTCCTGTTAAACTTCATAATGAAATGTCGGATTTAAATGATTCTTTTACCATTTTATAGCTTTCATTTTACTGTATTGATAACTAAAAATTTGTTGTGAGGAATGACTGGTTTGGCTTGTCTTGCCACATATGAGGGTTGGCCATAGTGTTAACAGATACACTTTTACTCATTTTGTGGCCGAAAGTGAACCCTTAATAGGGGTGTCCCAATGAGGGGTTCTACTGTACTTTCTGGCCTTTGACCATATACAGTATGTGTATTTCAATGTTTCACTATTATTTTTACATATTTTTTGATTTTTTCTTTATTGTGAAGGATATATTGAAAACGTTTAGACTCATCCAACGCTCAACTTCGTTATTATTACAATTTTTAATATTATTATTATAATATCCTTATTTTCATGATTATATCCAATATCATTATGAAATCAAAACAAATGTTATGAGAGCAGACCTGATAAGTTTACTTGTGAAGATCTTTAGCTTGCCTGTGCCTGCTTCAGCTGCAACAATCAAATCAAAACTCTTGCCTGCTATCAGGTGACCAAGGACACCAAGAAGATCCTCCTGTATCTTTGAAAAGTCAGGATCATTGAAGGTCTGCAAAATACACCATCACCATCAATGTCACCACAAAAATTATTCATAACTGAAATCATGTTTCAAAAGAACAAAGCTCTTCAGAACCAGTTTTAGATCTAGACATCTACTACAACAAGCCATCAACCTTCCTTGCTACTCAGTATGCTCATTATAGGGCCAGTGAAGAGCCCACAATCAAGATCAAGACCCGGAAAAAGTTGCACAGTTGAACGGGTTAGCCGTATGCTAACCATAGTACTTGTGTGATGGGAACCAAACACTAACATCATTTCTCTATGGTAAAATATGAGTACCTTGATAAAGATATAGATGTGGTTTAGAATAAAATTGGTCAGTGTTATATTACCTTTTTGTGCATCCAATAACTGGGTACCATAATTATCTACAATTCAGGAACATATGCAGATGGTGCATTATAATTGCTGGGTTACTACCATAATCATCAATCATAATTATTTCCACAATCACATCACTACATCATAACCATCACAAAAATCAACTCCATCTCACAATCACCTCTATTTATTAGCACATTCCTCAAAATTAATTTCATCTTGCGTCGTACTCGCGCGTCATCAACATTATCCTCGACACCACTTCCACATCCACTGTAATGCAAGTCAAACATCATGTGAGCATACTATACCTTTTCACTGAGAATACTGGTAGCCATAGTTTCTGCCTGCTGGATTAGTGTAGCATTTGGTAAGGGACTTGATTCTTTCTTTGATGGTAACACTGCATTGCGCTGGTTAGCTCTGAAAACATAATCAAATGCAAAACCCACATTAAATAAACAAATAAATAAAAAATAAGAAGGATATTGTATTAATAACTGAATTTGTAAAACAATTTTATTTCAATCCCCCTGCAACTGTGAGTATGAACAGAACAGAATTATTATACAGTATTTAATTATTTTTATCATTTGTACTTTTACTTGGGACAAAACACTAAAAGTGGTGCAATTGTTAAAAAAAAATTAAGGTCAGCTTCAGCTTTTCTGCACTTATCTTGGTTGATTGCTTTTAAATTTGTGTTGTTCATTATAGGTGGCAAAGACAAGCCAAATCAGTCACTCATCGCAAATTGTGTTTCAGAGATATTGGCCAAATCATTCTTGAGTGTCAACATTTTTTAAATCTATTTTATTGCACTAAACTAAACTTTATATATCTATACATCATGGTATCTGTCTCTTATACACATCTAGATGTGTATAAGAGAAATCAAAAAAGCGCGTCAAAATACGCGCTGCTGTCGTTAAGGACTTTTTGTGTGGTAA